AACATGCTGGCTGGGGAATTCTGGGAGTTGAAGTCCACACATCTTAAAGTTGCTGAGGTTGAGAAACACCGTGCTGAGCATTAGGAGGATAATATCAATGCCTTTACAAGTTTGGGATGTGTATATTGATGACTACCTTTGTACCTCATCTAGCTTTCTTTTTGAAGGGTTATTGATTAGAGGTAACATAAAGCTTATACTTGGGACAAACTAATACAAAATTTCTTCTTTTTCATCTTCTATGTATCTCATCTTCTGTTATTGCTCTAGCTCACAGGAGCTTCAATACCCTAATCTGACTAATTTCAACCTTTCTGTTGTCACAGATATGACTGTTCAGTCTTTACCCTGTAAGGCATATGTGATCATTTGCTATATCTTAATTTATCATATTTCCCCTTCAAGCACTGTAAACTAATCCAAATAAAAATCATTACAACATTTTGATTTTTTGTGAGTGTAATAAGTAAATCACTTCCTCTTTCAAGAAAGTTGGGACTCACAGTAAAATTTGCCAAGATATGTGACTATTGACATGAAAATTTCTCCAGCAATATGCGCACAGAATTCTTATGCACAAAGTTAAGACACTATTCTGTTTAATTGACCATATTTGCATCCTATACAAACCTGAAATGATCAGTCCTGCTCTGCAGGATAGCTATGCAGAGAGATTGAACAGCCCAAGCTGAGACCAACACCTAGTTGTGTTAAAAAGATGCATTTATGAACAATGTTCCTTACTGATACACACAATCATACAACAAAGGAGACCTTTCTTTGGAATATGGTGTCTTTTCTCCCAGGACAGTGTTTTGAGGATGCACCTGCAGCCTCAAAATTGTTTGCTGGTGTTGGTTAGATTGGCTGTACCTGGGAATCATCCAGTTGCTGCTTATATCTAGTTATCTCCTTCTTGCAGAGTAGAGTATTCCTGTCAGTTCCAATTTTCAGCTTTTCAGCCAATTCTATTTCTCCACATAACTCCTTTTGCATCTTTATGAGCTACTCTTATCTGTTCTTCTGCCTCCTATAAATTTTTCCTACTCATCCTCCATTTATGCTCAGAAATGCCTACACTGCATTTAAGTTGTACTGGAGATAATCAAAGTATAAATAATCAATATAATTCATCATAATATCTGAATATCTGTGTGTATTCTGGGAGTTGAAGTCTTTATTATTACAGAAATAATAAACAATCATAATACATATACTACTAAATATTGTATGGGTGATTCACCAGAATTTGTTTCAGAAGGCCATGTGCCAAGTTTGGACATGGGTCTGAAGAGCAGGCATGATAACATCATCTATCCTGTTCCACACTTTTTGCAAGAATTCTAGCACATGACAAGCCATCAACAGGCCATGTGAATTTGACCAACAATCCATTGATGAAATGTAACCTTCCTGCAAGCCCCTATTCAGTTATGCACCCTTTGTGTCATCTACCCAGAGGAAATGTGAAACAGAGATATGTTACTGAAGGGAAGCTTCAGACAAAAGTTGGGAATTAAAACAAAGTACCTTGAATGAAATCTCCTGTGTGAGAAAAGCACATTTCAGACCTCAGACATTAAAGGTGTAATTTAAACACAATTATTAAGAAAGGTCCAACCAGCTGTCATGAGAAGTTGAAGTAGGAAGCTAATTTTATTTTTAAAAAGAGTAACCCCATATGCTTCTGCTCTTCTTGCTTCAAGAAGCCATGCCGAAAAAAGTAGCCATTGTTGGAGCAGGTGTGAGTGGACTGACCTCCATCAAGTGCTGCCTGGAAGAGGGGCTGGAGCCAACCTGTTTTGAGCAAAGCGATGACATAGGGGGATTGTGGCGATTCACAGTAAGTTATGACAGTAGACTATAGACCCACCCATGTGTTATGTTGCTTAACTGTGACAAGAGACAATTGGATGTTTGAACTATGTGAAGTTGCTCTTGTTACAGAGTTATTTAAACAGCAAAGTAATTGAGATAAATAAAACTACTTTTTTCCCACAGTAGATCCTGATGAAAGGTATTCAGTATATTTTCCGTACCAATAATTTCAAAATATTCACAAAATATTTAATATTTATATTTAACATCTATTTTCTCCATTCTTTATTTAAATCAGAGCATATTCTTATATTGATGGAAACAGAACATATTCTATAATGTGTGTGTGTGTGTGCGTATGTGAGAGAGAGAATCTGAAAGCATACACTCATATATAAGAAAAAAGATGATAAAATAATGGCATAATCCCATAATTTTCTACTCATAAGTGTCTCATTAACCTCACAGTTCTTCCAGACATAAACTTTTGGGCAGTTATGTCATGTAAACAGCAATGTCAACATCACTCAATTCATTTCTTTTACTGTTATGTCCTTTATTATGCAAAAAAGAATCCATATTTTATTCACAGTGGGCAAATCAGGAAAGAATGTACTCCACTTCCAAGTACAGTATTTGATCCATCTGCCACCTTCCATTTTTGGGGGCCTCCCAAAATACCAATCATTGTATGTATGCAGGTATTCTGTACATGCAGCTTTATAAAAACTTTTAAAAGTGGAAGTGTTGAAATTCAGAATATTTTTGTTAAATATTGAAAGAATATAGCTTCTGGAATTCCACTGTAAAATAATCTGTTTGGAAAGAAAATATCCATAAATATACAAAAAAATCTATTTGAGGCACAAAACAGTGGAAGTTAAAGAAGTTTTAGAAGAAGCTTATGGCAAGTGTTCTATAAAAATCATAATTTTAGAGCATTGATCACAATCCCTACAATGTATGTTTCTGTAAATTGGCAAGTTTCTTACCAATAGCATTTCTGAATCTTTGTATTTTCAAAAATATTGCCCACAGATAATAGAAATGTAATTAGCCTTATTTAATCATATCACATACACTTTATATAACAAGCATTGTGCTTGAACTGAAAATGGCATGGTTTAGAATGGCAAGTATGCCTGAAAATGTTACCTAAATCTGTCTAAACTCTTGCAAATGTTTTCTCCTTTTTTAAAGAGTCAGAAATTAAGAAGCCTAGCTTCCAAACTAGACTTCTTTATTTAAAACCAAGCAAACTCCATCCCCTCAGATGAATTTGTGAGAGCAAATTTCATCCCATTCTTCTAAAACTTCATGCTCATCAATGAATAGTACAAATCTTATTTCAGACTCAGTTCCCCAGTCAAATTAGGCAGCTTTTGATTCAAGTCAAACTGAGCTATTTTCTGAAGCACCAAATTGAGCAGAAACAAATCCTGTGGTCACTGCACTTTAAGAGCGAATGGTAGTTCTGTAAAGCACTTGAAGGATCTTAAGGGAATTCTTAAATCCACACCAAACTATAATTCTCTTCATCTATTGTTGGGGAAGGGACTCACCTGTTAATTTTGATGTTCATGTAATACAATTTGTGGGATGTAAAATAGAGAAACATGTTTTTCTTTTTAAAGAATCCAATGTTGGTTTTGATTGCTGCATAAAAAAGACAAATAACTGATGAGAAATACTCTTATAATGTTTTATGGATAGGAGCATGTTGAAGATGGAAGACCCAGCGTGTACAGGTCAATGGTCAGTAACAGTTCGAAGGAGATGTCTGCCTTCACAGATTTTCCATATCCAGAAAATTTTCCAGCCTTTTTATCCCATCACCATCTCCTGGAATATCTGAGGATGTATACAAAACATTTTGATCTCCAGAAATACATTCAATTAAAGGTAAGCTTTAAAAGTATTAGAGAGATGAACTTTCACATTTAAAAACAAAGTAGAGCATTTATTTCTAGAGACTTTGGTTTAGTGCAACTCAAAACCAGAGTTTGCCTCTCAGATTGTAAACTTTCCAGGGCAAGTAAATGAGTTTGGCTCAAAGAATCCACTTGTTCACCCTCATTTGTACATTCATCTATTTATTTTTAATCTAAAAAGATGCCTATGAACTCAAAGCCAGGCACATTTGCAAGTTCAGTCCTTTCTGGATCATCATATTTGGTTATTTTCTGGAAATGTTTCAGACAAAAGTGATCACCATAAAGAAGTGTCCTGATTTCTCTACCACTGGCCAGTGGGATGTTGTTACGGAAGCCAATGGGAAGCAGAAGTCAACCATTTTTGATGCTGTGATGGTTTGTGTTGGTTACCTTACCGAACCTTCATTGCCACTCAACAGTTTCCCAGGTATATTTATTTCTGAGCATCTATTTAATTTAAAAATGCACAATCAGGTAATACCTTTTTAATATTTACTTTCAAAATGCATAGGCAGCCATTCTTAACAAGTGATCAGCTGTCATAACAAAATGAGCTGAACTTTGTGTTCTCTAGAGTGTTTCAAGATCAGTTTTTTTGCCATTACTGGATCTGTTTTAGATGCATTAGATCAGTCCACATCTCAGACTGAACTAAATTCAAGCAACCTTTAAGTAAACAAACCAGCTGCAGCTCTCCCCATTATCAGTGAAGACATCTGCCTCCTCCAGTGTACCATAAGGCTGTGAGAAGAAGGTTCAGAAACTCTTCACCACTGAGATATATTGGTTCTAAATTGAACATTAGTTCACTTGCTGAAATTCTCGAACACATTCATCTTAATAAATTGGGCAAAAGAAAACTGTGGATTATCTCTGAATTTTAGCTTCTTGTGGTGAGGGGCTGCATTTGTTGGAATAGTAGGGGATTTTTTGTTTGTGTTTTGGTTTCTGAGAGGAACAGAAAACATGGCAGGGAAGCAGCAATAAGTGGTGGGGAAGAGGAAGCAAATACTGTTTGGGGGGAGAAGATTTATACTGCAAAATAGATATGCTAACCCATGTGCAAGCTTAATACACCCATTTTGGCCTTTTATAAGAGTCCCCTGACCCACAGAAAATAATGCCTTTGAAAATTGTCCGTTTTGCTGCTAAATTTTGCTGCTGTCATCTGGGAGGGCTCTGGAGGGGCACAAAATGGAGCCGTCTCCAGTCCACAGTTGTCCACCTCTCTTTTAAAATAAAATTAATAAAATGACCAGTTGTAACTAAGCATATGCATATGTAACGGCCCCAACAATAAAAAATTCTTTAAAAAATAAGAAATAAAGTCAAGCATAACAACTGAGCCTTGCTGTTGTCCTACTTCAGGTCGGTATCATTATCTTTCGCTCTGGTTTTTCTATTAGCTTCTACTTCCCCTCTTTATGGTATAGGATGAGATGGCATCCTTTCTGCCAGTTTAGGTTTTTCTTTGTTTTTGCAAGAATCTCTGTTGAATATGCTTTACATTTGCAAAGCAGGATCTCTTAAAAATTAAGTCATCCTTTTATGCAGTCTTGCTTAAGAACTGGCACAGGCAACTTGTGGCCCTCCAGAGTCTAGGTAGGCCAGCATTCTTCACAAGAAACAAAGAAACCTATGGCTACAACCTCCTGCTTGAACTTCTGCCCACTTATGAAAATCTTCACAGAGAATTAGCCTACAGCAGGGATTAGGCATGGAGAAGTGTACAGTAATAATGTGGCACTGTCTAGCATAGGACTGTTAGCATCAAGTCTATTCAAGAAATATATTGAACATTGTTTTATGAAACTCAAACACAGTTATTAAAGGAAGGAATATCACCAATCCTTAAAATCCCCCAAAATACTACCCATCTTTGTTTCTTACAGGAATATTGAGGAAAGCACTGTATGAATTTCTTAGATGGTATCAATAATTGGCAAGCTACAGTTTCAGATTCCTCATGCAATAACAGGCTACAATAATCTTGGTTGGGCTCATGTAAGGGTAACTGGGATAATACATGTAAAGCTCTTCGGATATTAGGGATGTTCTGTATAAATGCCACAACTGCAACCAAGATGGAACCTGCTATTATTATTTTAAGTTTCATTTGGAAACTCACTGGATTTGTCTTTGTTTCCCCACAGGCCTAGAAAAGTTTAATGGCCACTATTTTCATAGCCGAGAATACAAAACTGCAGAGGTATTCAGGGATAAAAAGGTGCTTGTGATTGGCATGGGGAATTCTGGAGTTGATATTGCAGTGGAAGCCACTCAAACAGCGAAAAGGGTAAAGTACCTCAGAACTGTTTCACTTCTGGGAACCTGACCGGCCTACATTTTAGCCTTGGTTTTGGCAGGGAAGCTCAGAGGCTGTTTTCTTATCAGTATTGTTCTAATGTGAGGAACCTAATTCTATACAAATCTTCCTGATAAAACATCCCCCTCAGCTAATACGAGTGTGAGAATAATAGGAATGAGAATTAGCTTATGTAATTTATTCAGTAAAATATGCTCCTTATTACTGTACTGAATAAGTTCAGAACTTAAGAGAGGTGTGCTTGTTCACCCCAGATTTCTAATACTAACAAACAGGTGAGGTCTTCTAAATGAAGGCCTAATGCCAGTAACCAAGTGAGCTGATCACACAATTAAACAAAGGGTTTGCAGTTACAAGCAAGTTCAGTATATTCCCTGGCCAGTGTTTTTATATCTATGGGCTGGGAAAAGCAGTTTCAAAGCAGCAAATGCCATTTTACAAATGACAGCTTATCACTGCCTTTTGCTTGACAAGGTGCTCTGCAAATTTATGGGATACATACTTCTTGATTCAGTTTGCCTTGTAATTTCTGGAATCCCCTTGTAGTAGCATGATGAAGGAATGAGGGAAAGGAGCTCAAATGCAAATTACTGCCACCCCAGCTATAGCAATACGGCTGACCTGTAGAGTAAAAAGCTGGGGGTTCTGTTCTCCCTTCCTCTCCCACAAGAGATTAACAAAAGCAAACTTCATTTAACAAGAAAACAGTTCAAATATAAAGCCCCTTGTTAACATCAAATATGAATGTGCAACCATTCCCTGCTGAAGGAGAGAAAGGCAGAGTTGCCTCAACAAAGTAGCTGCCTCTTTGAGTTAAAAGAGTTAAAAAGGGGAACAAACCTTTTTTAAAGTTTTTTTTTAATTTAAAAAAGAGAAAGAGTCAGTTTGGTCTAGTGGTTAAGGCCCCAGGCTAGAAAGCAGGAGACTGTGAGTTCTAATCCCGCCTTAGGCATGACAGCCGGCTGGGTGACTTTAGGCCAGTCACTCTCCCTCAGCCCAACTCACCTCACAGGGGTTGTTGTTGTGGGGAAAATAGGAGGAGGAAGGAGTATTAGGT